AACCAGAAAACGGAAGATCAACAAGGCTGTGGACATACTCTTTCAAAAAAAACAGAGGAAAAGGACATTAAAAGATGGAAAAGTCAGTGATAATTTCGCGTACTGCCTGGGAAGACTTGGAAATTAAGTAAAGACATCAAAAAGAAGGCACTTGGATCCAGGAAAATTGTTAAACAACCTGAAGAGACATCGCTAAGTACAAAGGAAAGCCAATAAAAGGCGATTGCAGTGAAAGAAGTCAAGATTAAAATCGGCAAAAAATTTACCTGGGGGGGTCTACCTGTGTGGCATAGAATATAAAATAAAAGGCTAAAGGTATAGGTGGGCCAGATGAAGGCCACTACAGTGTTTATGTGGGTGATTGCGTGCCTTTTTCGTGTCTGTGCCTGAAAGAAGAGAGATGACTGGCGAAATGCTTGACCGCGGGAGATACCAGCCAACAAACAGATGAACATCCTAGTACCATAGGATTAGGTAAGAGTGTGAGGACGTGAGGAGTGTGCTTCTCGCTATTCATGAGGAGAAAGGAGTTGTGCATTTTCACCTCAGCGGCTATGACTTTAGCCAGACACAGGGCCCCAAAGAATGAAACCCAATTTGGATTGGGATGAGAAAGAGGATAACCATGTCATGGGTTTGAAACCTAGGAAGAGGAAGATTCCCAGGCACAGACATGGCCATCCCCAGCTCTAAATCTGCGAATGTGACGTAATCGGGGACAGGAATTGAAGACTCTTAGACAGCCAGATTTCAGACAGTCAGACAGTTGTTTTGGTGTTTAGCAGCGACCAATTGACAAATGGGTATGAGAAAGGGGGGGCTGAATTAAGATCAGGAGACCTGCAAACGGCACTTGGTACTGGTGGTGGAGATAATTATGCTTCGATAAGCCCACTTGTAGCGCAACACACTATCAGGCAACATTGGAGGAGACAGATTTGTGTGAATAGGTATATGGGTCATATGAAGTATGGTTGAGAGGAAGAGATGCAGCACTAGAAGGTAAAACAAAAAATAGTGTCGAGGAGTGACGCCACAACAGTTGAATAGTCAAGGAGATTGCCTTCTCTTGTCACTTTGATAAGTTGTAACTCTGTGCTAACGATGGTTCCTTTCAGTGACGATTCGGGCGAAACGTTTGGGAATGTACTAAGTCGTTGTTTCGAAGCAGGAACTCATGAATATACTGCAAGGTGACACAGGACTGGATATGTTCCACAAGGTCTCGCCGACGCTCTGACCAAGTTTCGAAAACGAGATCGAACCAACACAATAAAGTTAAGGGTGTCTGCGACCAAACAGAAGACCACACCATCTTGGTCTTCATGTCTACGATACGATAACTGCATTGATAAATTCAATCGCTAAAATAACTTACATCACAGGATAGAGGTTGTAAGTTTTCTTTTATCAGAGAGCCCAATGTGTTCGCGTAAAGCCCTGTGCAATGGTCTCGACCAATTCTTGGGCATACTGACTAGATTCAGCTTTAAAGATATGACAGGTAAATCGTTTCGACAAAGTGCACGTCGTGTCGCCAGCAATGTAGGCTAGACAAAGTGGCGACTCGAGACGTCGACCAACAGCTGATATCTGAGGGAAGGAATGTTTGAGCAAAGGAGGGTTATTTTGAGATGCCTCATCTGAGTCGGGTGAGATCTCCCGTATAGTCAAACCGAGTTCACCTGAACAAATGTATAGCGGCAAAGGATATTGACAGGGGAAAGGTAAAAATCGAAATGTACAATCCTTGATGGGTATGAAGTAGAAAAGAAGAAGTGAGAAAAACAGAGAAGATTATTAAAAATAAAAGCAAAGTAATGTTTAGGAGAATTTGAATACTGGCTGTTGTTACCTCAAGTTAAGCTCCGATGGACTTATGATTCTTTTCAGCATAATTTTAAACCTATTCTCAGACTACTGATTGAAAATAAAAGCAGTGATCTGCAGAGATATGTGATAAGATTGTGCTGAAGTAATTTGAGTGACTATACAAAAGTTATAATCAAGCATACTTTCAAGATGGTATTCATATCGCTGTAATTTGATCCACAAGCGAGTTTAACCCTGCTGGGCTATTTCATTAATAAACGTGAAGCTTTTACTAGGATCCATGCAATCCTTCGTTTTAAGCAGCTTTTTAACATTATTGCTTGCACATGAGACTAACAAACGAAATTTGTTAGAAGTACTGGCAAGCTTACCAACAAGATATCCAACTATTATAAGACACTTAATTTTACAGTTTTCTTTACTATTCTGTGAATAACAAATTAAATGAATGTGGTTCTTAGATAATCATAAAATTTAAACCCTTAGTTCGTATGCTACACCTTGCTTTGCATAATGCCATACATTAGCATTCTATCTTAATTTTGCATAACCTATCCTGTTCATATCCAATCAGCCATCTATTGTTTGATGAATATGGTTAAGGAATGGCCAATCTGTAGACGACGTCTGTTGCAAGATAGACGAAGGCTCATCTATGATTTTTTGATCGCAAGAGGATGCACAGAAGATTTATTAAACTGTCTTTACTTTAAGGAAATCCTCCCTTGGTTTCTGACTCAACCAATTTGGAAATATCTTCCCCCGAACTTTTCCTCAGGATTCAGGAAAATTCTCTAATTCTCCATATATATATCTATAATAAAGACAAATTATTATATAATAAACTAACTGCATAAGTTAAATATAAATTGAAGATAATTATCGATTTAAGTCTTGTATACTGAACAAGATTCACATACAGGACGTAACCTACCAGATGTTAGAGAGACGGGTAGATATTCAGCCTTGTCAGGACATTGATCCAACATTCGAAGGATGGCCCATTCAAGTCTCCCTATACCTCCGTTGCTGCCGACATTAATATTGCCAATATAGGCCAATTGTGCCTTTTTTGGGTTATCAACACGATTTTCTGTACCCCTCTTGACAGAGGAATGAGAAGAAGTGGCAGATGATCCTAGGATGGAATCGTTTCCGTTGTTTAGCCGAAGGCAAGCTGGACGAACTGGACTTAGTGAATCAAGAGGTTCAGGGGCTCTGAATACTGGTGGTTCATCAAGATGGTCGTGTATGGAGGCGGGGACGCCTGGTGAAATAAGATAGAGAAGGCGGTATAGATGATGCTATGTGGACATCAAAAAGACTGTATGATTTTACAAAGCCTCTTTGGATAAGGAGGGTCTATTATTATCTGTTTTAATAAGTTATGCAACAAATGATTGCAGAAAACCTCACTTGAAGTAAAGAGGCCTGACTATTTAACAATGAAATAATCTAGTATGCAAAATGCACGAAATTTAAGGATAACAGGAAGGACATGTAGTGAATATTTTCACAAATAAGAAGCGGGTTTCGAAAAATCTCCTGAGATATGATTGATGAGAAAACTTTCATTCCGTATGAAAGTACATGATAAAGAGATTCGTAGATAAATCTCACCAGAAGACACCAGCTGATTCGCGTTGTACTGCAGCTGTTTGGCCTTAACACGACGTCCAGGTTGGTGTAGTTTACAAGACATCCTTCTATTTTTAGGGCGGACGGGCTGAGTTTTCGACCGTCATGTGACGAACATTGTCAGAGCTGGGACTCACTGTTGTAAAAGCCTCAAATTGACACTAAGTTAAGAAGACTAACCGGCTTTTTCTATATAATATATATATATATATTCATTGTGAGCAAAATGTAAAATATAGATGGATATAGAAAGGGTTGGTTAATTCACGTATATTCCAGTGTGCCTATGTGTGTATGTATGTTAACGTCTCTACGCAAAACTGGTCATAACTCAGAGTAGTTAGAAAAAAGCTCAATTACAGTCCCGGGCCATCAAGTCCTAATGACCCAAGGAAAAAAGAAAAGCATGTCCGAGATCTACTCTAACCAGGCAAGTTAGTAACTTGCAAGATATATTATCATTAGAAGCAGCATACTCGAGCTAGAATTAGATCGGGTGATTTAGATTTGTTCTCCTATAAATTGATTCAGTACTGTATGCACTCACAAATATTTGAAAAATTCCATTGGGAATAGAAGCGTTGGATACAAGATATTACTCTGGAGTATCTTCCTCTAATCCCACTTCTCTTGCTCTACCAAATAACAAATACAACGTTTCAAATAACACAGGGATGTTCGGAATAAATATCCGACACATCGGAGTAACTTATGACTTCAGAAATCGGAAAACCGTGCCTCTTTAAATTAAGAATAACTGACATGCTAATCAAGATTATATCTTAAGTAAACATGGAACAGTGGTAAAGAGGAAGACAAGAAACGATAATGTAGATGGAATTACATAACGTCTGCCATATTTATACTTATGCCGTAGATTAGAGACTAGCAGCAAAATTATAATACTCGGCCATACGCTTAGGAGATATTTCGTGAAGAGCGTCCTGTCGTGAACCTAGCTTACATGTAAAGAGGACATCAAATGAGCTGCCAATCAGAGCAGTAATGAACTTTATCCTAGGAAATATGTTCTAAAATACGGCCATTTGAATTACAACGCTCAGCCGTATGCGTTGCCGTGGCTAAGAAATCATTTTCCAGCTCAATATTCGATATATCGTATATATGAAGACCAAGATGCTGTGGCCTTCTGTTTGGTCGCAGTCTCCTTTAGCTTCGTAGTGTTGGTTCGACCGGGAGCGTCAGAAATACTTTGTGAAAAATACTTAGTCCTGTTTCATTGACCACAGTATTTGGGATTTCTAGCATTGGGCCATTGATTTGGTACATTTCCAAGCGTTTACAGGCATCGTAAGAACAGAGTTAAAGCTTATCAAAGTGACAAGTTGTAACTCTGTACTCACGATGGCGCCTCTCACTGACGATGCCAATGAAACGTTTAGGAATGTATCAAGTCAATAGTCCATTGCTAGAAATCACAAACACTCTGGCAGAGGACACAGCACTAGGTACGTTTCACAAGGTCTCCCTGATGCTCCGACAATGTTGCAAAAACAAGGCCGAACCAACACTACAAAATTTATAGCCAGATTTCATCACACTATTCATATAAAATTACAAATTAAAATATAGACAATGAATAGATAAATAAAAACACAAATAGTTGGAAGAACGATTTATGAGCAAAAAGAATCGTCTTTTATAGTATTCCATGATTAATTAAAATAAAATGATGAATAAAATTTTAAAAAATGAAGCCCATATCATGCTCAAGAGTAAGAAACTGTGTTAAATTTCATAGTCAGCTCCGAATTTGTTTCGCATTTCATATTAAAAGTCCATTAAATATTGCAAACACATTTTGTCATTGCTCCAGTGGCTACTAACGAGAAAATCGAAGAGAGCATATAAACCAACAATAAATGTAAATGAAGGTTTGATTAGCATCTCATAAGATCCCAATTTAATCGCTCTTTCAGAAATGCCTTAGAAGTGGTTATATAAAATGATAACGAGATTATCTGTCCCTAATTTTTTGAAATGTTAAGAAAATAAATAGCACAAAATGTAAGTTGTGATAATGAAGTAAAACCAACTATATAAAGCTTAGGAGACTGCGACCCAACAGATGGTCATACCATCTTGGTCTTCATATTTACGACCTGATTATTATTCCGAGAAAATCCCTTCACCTTTTATCATATCTCCTCACCTGGCCTATTACACGTAAAGACTGAAATTTTGTCAGATTATACTAAGATTACTAACCAGGTGAGTTCATGATACGTTGTAAAAGATCCATGCATCTGTTCTCCTTGAGCATGTTAAAAATTGGTTGATAAAGCGAGCCATCAGGTTGTCGCGCCTTTATCACATCAGCTAAAACCGGTTTACCATCAAAGAGTGAAAGAAGGCTGCGTATGTTGATCGGCTGTCGGCGAAGAGGACGTCTAAAGAGACTGGTAATAACATCACCGATTTCAATTCGGCCATCCTCAGCACTGACTCCTTCTGGATCAAGGTCATCAACTACCATATGTCCATCTATAGAGCGTACAGCTAGACCTAACTCCCTTAGATCAATACATAAATATAAAATGTAAAATTTCTTTAAAATTGATTAGAATTAGTTTTATTAGTATCAGTAAATTATCAGTAAGTCTCCATTTTGGACATGCCCTATGCTTCTAAGCGTAAGAAAGGAGAGAACCCATCATAGAATCAGGTATTAATACACGCATAAAACACAAATTACTGTGACATAGCGTTAATGTTATAACAACAATAAGTTAACTTTTACAACTTATAATTTAAAAGGCATTTTGAAAAAAATGCTTAAAATCGTATGATACTATCCAATATAAATTATGAAAATCTATGATGATATTTAATAATTCAAAGTACTTTGTAAAGTAAAATAAATGCAAGGGTAAAATAAAAAGTCCAGTAGTACATTTATATGAAGATAAAACTTAGATTACCTGCATGGAACAAACTCATATTTCCTAAAAAGGGGTACCCGAAGACTCTTGTCAAGAAAATCGACATTTTCTAAATCCAAGGAAATGCTAAGTCGATCTAATTCTGCTATCAAGGACGAAAAGATTTCAAGCAAAATTTCATTTCCTATTATGGAGTCATCACAATAATGGCCAACTAGCAATTCGGGATGCTGCCGGCAAACGGTTATAGGACAACTGAGCATTTTGTGTTTTAAAAGACTTCGGAGTAAAAGTCTTCCCCGTCCAATATCTGAGTCAAGTCGTTTGTCTTGACGAATCTATCAGAATTGACAAAATATAGAAGTATAAAGCAACGAGGGCATACGAAAATAATTAGTTTAATAGGGATTAATAAAGGGACAATTTATTGTTGTGATATGCTCGTTACGCCAATTAATGAATGCATTAGATGCAAAATTCAAAAGAACCCAGTCGAATATGAATAACTTTACAAGTCACAAATAGGGCACAGATGTTTCAATACTACCATTCACACACACACACACATATATATATGCTATGCTATTTATACTAGATAAAGTATTATTATTTTGTTTTGTAAAAAAAATTTCTGGAAAAAACAATTTTAATGTGAGGTTAACACGTTATAATTAAGCGCAAAATTATTATATTATAAATGTATAATTAAAAAACTTTTTGAAAATAGTGTGAAATATAATAGTTATTGTAAAATCATTTGGAAATGACCACACATTTGCAACAGCATTTAAGGCGACATAGTTAATAAACTCAACAAATGTACATACAAATTTAAAAAACAGAAAAGTTTGGCACAAAATAAGAACAATTAGTCAAAATACTATAGAGGATAAATTAATTTCAGCAGTAATTAAGATGCGTAAGAACGACAATTTTAGAAGCCTACCGAATGCACTAAATCCTGGTAAAAATAATGTAACGAAATGTGAAGTTGACTGCAATGAGAGATAAAAGCTTCCATCCAATGAAAGTACGACAATTGACGAAGCCAAAATATACTCTTGGATCCTATAAGTCCATAGTTAAATATTTTGTCTAAAATTTCTATCAGATCCTGGACATTAACGTTGCGGTCAGTTATATCTGAAGAATCAGATTGATGTAATATATATACAAGATTCTTAAGCTTCTTAAGAAGTGGGTTATTTATTGTCATGATGTAAAAATAATTTAGAAGACATGAAGTAAATCAAAATAGACCACGGTCTACACCAACGCTACATTGCATTTCTTTTAACGGCTATAACAAAAGTTGTCTTTAAAAATTTAAATATTAACATTAAAGTTTTTAATTATAGCTTTTTATGTACAATAAACATAAGTCTTATAACTGTAAATTTGGCCGTCTTTATCAAAATAAACAATTTTTTATAATTTCATTTAGTATATTTGCTTTACTAGTATATATAAAGAGGATGTGATGCTCTATGAAAAGAAAGCAAAAGGGTAAGCTGAATCAAACTTCGAAGACTCGAGTTGTCTACATACGATTCTCTTCTTTATACACAAATACATTGTATGTAAGTGGCCGGTTGTAAATTAATGAAATACCAATTAGGTTACCTTAATTCTCTCACAAATAAGTAAAAAGAGTGTTTGAGACTATGTTTAGAAATGTATAAAAATCATTTTCATAATTTGAAGTCTATGCTAAGCTGATGATATAATCATTTAGCATATGGTCGCAATTAATAACATTTTGTTGCGATATTTAATTCTGCTAGT